GATGGTTAAAAGCGTCCCTGGTCCAGGTTGTTACCAGCATTTCGCTATTTTGAAGCAGTTCTTTCTGCCTCGCTCGAGCACGTTTGGGACAATTAGGGTTAAGCCGGGCGTGTCCCTCTACAGGAGGATTATTCAAAAAGGGTAAAACATACTCTGTGGACGATTTTTCTAGCACTGCTTGACAATTTTGGAATATTTGATGATTTTTCGTTCTTGGCCATTTTTGAATATTTGATGATTTTTCGTCCAAGATCCCCCTATAGGTGGACACGCCCGACCTAAATTTATGGCACATGTATCGGTCAAACACGGGCAGATGTTCGGGCACGGTTTCCGATCACTGCACCCCCCTGATAATTAGAGGCCAGAGGCTACATGACATATTCGGCTGGAGTCGGCTCCGCAGACGAGCGTTTTCGTTGATGCATTGGTGATCCTTTTTTGTATGTATTGTTTTGCCGATCGGCGTTGGCCCCAACATCATCCCCCTCCCCCTCCCCATGGAGTAGATCTTGGCTGTTTGGGGGGCGCCTGTTTCGAGCAGGTGGAGCCTCCATGACGGACGCCCTGCCGCGACGCCCTGCTGCAAACATTCGCACGAAGTAGAGGTCTGGAGGCAGATCCAAAACAAATGATAATCAAGAATGAAAGAAACAAAACAACATGAAACATAAATGAACAAATAAATAAATAAATACATACAATATATATATATATACATATATAAACAGTTTATAATATAAAAAAGGAAACACCAAACAATAAAACCAACACACAAAAAAACAAACAATAACAAAAAAAGAGGTCCGCAGGCAGACGCCCCCCCCTCCCCCACCATTCCGCCCACTGCTGTCGAGACGCCGAGCGAAAAGAGCGTTCGTTTGGCGCAACGCTACACGAAGCGGCCTGGTCTGCCTATAGCCCCACCACTTGGCATCGCTCGGACGTGTGCATTTTTCCTTCGGCGAGGACCCTCGAGGAGCATCCTTGATCATTTGGCAAAAAAAAAAAAACACGGAATGGACGTCCGAGCGATGGCGAGTTCCGCCCATTGTCGAAACGCCGAATGAAACAGAACGTTCGTCTGGCGCCACGCGACACGACGTGGCCTGGTCTGCCCAGAGCCCCACCAAGCACAGTGCTGTAGCGGTCGCACGTGTCGTTGCCTGTCGGCGATGCTCGTGGAACCCGTCGGTCCGAGACCGGCCGGTGTCCACGCCTGTTTTATGGCGCCCCGAGGCCATCTCGCACTGTCAGAAAGACACTCGTGCGAGCAGCTCGGGGCAGGCCTGCAGGCCTAGACACCGTCGGGGGCGCTGGAGGAGGAACCCTTTTCGTTCGGGAGGGGCCCCGTGCCCCTTCGTTGTTTTGCAGTGCTCCTTGGGTTTTTCCCCGAGGTTTTTGTCCATGGAGCATTGGAGCTCAACTTATGGGATTCGGGGCTTCCCCGAGGTTTCCCACGGAAAACTGGATCTTGAACTTAGGGCATTTCCTGAGGCCTCGTCCCTTACTTCGGGTTCCGTGGGTCAACGCCCCAAACTAATTTTAGCATTGCTGCCTTGCTGGCGGCGGCTGGCTTTGCCGATCGGGCGGAGGCCGCGCAGCGCGGGCGTGCTGCCATGGCGAGGCGTGCGGCCGCCCAGGAGCCCTGAGCAGCCAGGGTGCTCTTTGAGGCTTCTGCTTGCACGAATTGTTTTCGAATTGTTGTTCCTTCTCGTCCTCCTCCTCCTCCTCCTTCTCCTCCTCCTCCTCCTCCTCCTCCTCCTCCTCCTCCATCTCCTCCCCCTCCTCCTCCTCCTCCTCCTCCTCCTCCTCCTCCTCCTCCTCCTCCTCCTCCTCCTCCTCCTCCTCCTCCTCCTCCTCCTCCTCGGTTGTGTCGGCAAACAAAGACGCCCCAAACTACGTAGGGATGCCTGGATCGCGCCCCCCCCCCCCTGCGCTCGCCGCCAGCGGCAGGCCCGGGCCGGCGCGGCGGGCGGCTCTCCCGAGCGCGGGCCGGGCGCGGGCAGCAAGGCGGGCGGGCCCCAGCCGCCCCTTTTGGAGCTTCCCTCCTCCTCGGCGTTCTCCTCCCTCCTCCTCCTCCTGCTCCTCCTCCTCCTCCTCCTCCTCCTCCTCCTCCTCCTCCTCCTCCTCCTCCTCCTCCTCCTCCTCTCTAGGCCTCCTGGATGGGGTCGGAGTAGATGGGGTCGAAGGATCGCACCGCATCGCCGATGCATCGGCGATGCATCGGCGATGCGGCTCGATGCGGAGTCCGATTTTCTTCACGCCGACGACGCCGATGTACCGCCGACGTCGCCAGTGCATCGCCGATGCATCGGCGATGCATCGCCAATGTATCGCCGATGCAGCGCGATCCGTCGACCCCATCTACTCGGACCCCATCTAGGAGGCCTCTATCCCCCTTCCCTCCCATTCCTCCATGCTCGGGTATAGCCAGGGCTCCGGTGAAGGGGAGCCGGTCAGTGATTGGCCCCCGAAGCCCCGAACATGGATTGGAATCACTAAGCCAGGCCTGTTGTAGCTGATGCTTTTCGGGTTACGGCAATGCCGAATAGTGGAATGGGACGGGGTGCCGCCCCCCGGTACACATCATTATACCAGGTCCCACTAAACCCAGTTCTGCCAACGCCCGATATACATAACGCCTCCTTGTCGCACCCTGAGGCCGGTCGAAAGGGCGGGGCGGTCGTTTCGCTTCAGACTTCCCCCATATCTGCGATTTGGAAGTTTGAAATTTGGAACAACTTCACGGATGTAGGGTGGTTCGTTTTTACCATGTGGTTCTCGCTTCAGCGTCGCGCTCATGTTTCAAAAGTTTGCAAGAGATTCGCGGATGGAGGGCGGATCGTTTTCAAAATGTGATGTTTGCCTTCGCATCGCGCACATCCGTTTTAACATTGCACAACATATTCACGGATGAAGGGCGGTTCTTTTTCAACTTGTGGTTTTCGTTTTCGCGCCACGTAAATCTGTTTCAAGAACTTACAGTCACAGTTTCGAATATTCTTGTGGCGACCATCCCAAAAGTGGCGTTTACGCATGACGTCGGATTGTCGGGGCGAAGTAGTTACGTTGATTCGTGGTGTTGAAGTCCCAGAAATGGGTTTGGGCACGAGTCAGGAGCGTCAAGACGCAACAGTAACGGTAATTTGCGACGTTGAATTCCAAGGAATGGTGCTCTTTCAACGGTTGTTTTTCAATGGGGCATTTCCCTCAGTGAAATTAAACATTTGTAGGGTGTTATGAAGTGGGAATTCGGAGGAACCGTTTAATGCAACATCGTTGATGAGCCTTGGGTTTGCACTGGTCCTCATCCTCATCCTAGTACTCCCCATCGCCCTCCCTCTTCTCTTCCTCTTCGTCCCCGCCCTCCCCCTACTCTCTCTCTTCCTATTGCTTGTGCTGGGCTCACCCTCGCGGCGTCGATGCACGCACATTCAAACAAAAAGTATCACCGAGCTCGATCCGAAGCGAAACGATCCCACGTCTGATCATCACAAAGAAGAATCCAGTGGGACAAGTAGTCGCTCAATCTCCTCCTCCTGCTCCTCCTCCTCCTCCTCCTCCTCCTCCTGCTCCTCCTCCTCCTCCTCGAGTCCCTCGCCTTCCCCTCATCCTCCCGCTCGCCCCTTCCAGAGGGGGACGCCACTGGATTGCCTTCCCGGATTGCTCCGACCTCCCACCCAGATCTCCGACGATCGGGCGCGGCAGGATAGGGTGCAGAAAAAATATATTTTGGCACGTTTTCGTTGGTCTCGGGGTGATCTCTTTGTGGGCCCCGGAAACGGCAGGGCCGTTTTTTCACCGTTTCCCCAAAAATGTCCCTTGGAAATGGAAACGGAAAAAAAAAAGGCGACCGGAAACGGCAAAAAAACGGCTCCAGGATTGGAACCGCCGTCGGAACCGGCGTCGGAACCGGCAAAACAAAATGGAAACGGCGTCGGAACCGGCAAAAAAGCGGCAGAACGGAACCGGCAAAAAAACGGCCTTGTCGTTTCCAGGGCCCTAAGGGTGATCTCCAGCGGCTGCGCCTTGCCGGTGGCGTTCGCGAGGTGCCAAGATCGTCCCGACCCGCTGCGGGAGGTTGTTGGCGCTGTCGATCTCGCTTGCCGGTTCAGCCAGAGCCCACGCGCGTCTCGACTCGGCTCAGTTTTCCGATTCGATGCTGGCTCGGATCCCTGGGCACATGTGGCGTGTCGAGGCACGGGCCCCCGACCTCTCGACCTCTTCCCCGGGACCGTTTCTCGTGTCGTATTATTTAACGGCGCCGAGGCCCGACATGGGGCCCCTCCCGAGGGCGGCCCGGGCCGCGGCGGGGGTGGTCTTCGCCTCCTCGGCCAGCTGCCCCGCCGGGGTGCACTCGGCATGCGGCGCCGTGCGCCCGTGGAGAGTTCCCGAGGAGGGTTCTGCCCACCCCCAGGGGTACACCTCCCCCGATCCGTGGATCTGTGGCGGCGCGCAGAGGGGGGGGGGTAGGGGGAGGGGGGAAGGCTTCCTAGAAGCAGCCTCCTTCTAAGGAGCCTTCCCCCCTCACCCTACCGCCCTCTGCGCGCCGCCAAGATCTGGCGCCCACGCGCGCCAGATCCGCGGGGCTTAGCCGTACCCTGAGATCCGGGCGGTCGCTCGGTTTCGGGCCCAGGGGCCCGCACAGCTCTCGAGGACATGTAAGGCTCGAGTAAGCCAGAGATCGGGTTTGCGCACGTTTTTTGACGAGCGCGTCCTGACGGTCCCGTGTCCGTGGGATATTCTAGACGCTTCGCGTATCCC